CAGAATTAGCACCCGTTACCACAAGCTCTGCTTCTTCCCACTTATGAGGTCTAAGTGACAGGAAGGGCGTCTGGCCGGGGTGGGGCCCTGGCGTTTATTCTGGGTGAGGTGGGATGGGATGGGACAGCGTCTGAGCAGAGGCGTCAGGAGGCTCTGTGGCTTCACTGTTGAGAAACCAGCGAGGAAGCTCTTGGAACCATCCCGGTGGGAGGCGATGGTGACTGGGACTAAGGTGGGCTGAGGTCTGAGGTGTTTTGAAGGCTGCGGGGGTTGAGAGGGAAGGAGAAGGCAAAGATGAGTCCACAGTGTTTTGGTTGAGCATTGGAAGAATAGAGTGGCCATTTAAGATGATGTGGAAGACGGAGGCAGGGGGCTGAGTTTGGGGAGCAAAATTAAGTGGTTGATTTTGGACAAGTTAAGCTTAAGGTGCCTGAATTGAGGCCCAAGTAGCACAGCCAGAGGCAAGACTGGAGTTCAAGGGCAAACTCCAGCTGGAGGTGGAAATGTGGGCGTCAGGGCCGGCGCAGTGGCTCACGCCTGTAATCCCAGCACCTTGGGAGAGGTGGGTGGGTCACTTGAGGTCAGGAGTTTGAGACCAGCCTGGCCAACATGGTGAAACCCTGTCTCTACTAAAAAATACAAAAATTAGCCAGGCCTGGTGGCAGGTGCCTGTAATCCCAGCTATTCAGGAGGGTGAGGCAGGAGAATTGCTTGAACCCGGGAGGCAGAGGTGGCAGTGAGCTGAGATCCTGCCAGTGCACTCCAGCCTGGGCAACAGAGCGAGATTCTATCTCAAAAAATATAATAATTAAAGCCATTAATATATGAATCTATGGTTAACTTTTATACAATAAATACTGTGCCAACAGACCCAGGGGACATTTTCAAGTTTTTGGGTTTTTTATTTTGTTTTTTTTGAGAGCCTTTCAGTAATACAATAATTCTGTTATTCATTTTCTTAATAGTATAAATATTTTATTCAGGTTAAAAATAGTCAAATTGGCTGGGTGCGTGGCTCACACCTGTAATCCCAGCACTTTGGGAGGCCGAGGTGGGCAGGTCGCCTGAGGTCAGGAGTTTGAGACCAGCCTGGCCAATATGGTGAAACCCTGTCTCTACTAAAAATACAAAAATTAGCCAGGTGTGGTGGCGCATGCCTGTAGTCCCAGCTACCCAGGGAAGCTGAGGCAGGAGAATCGCTGGAACCCGAGAGGTGGAGGCTGTAGTGAGCCGAGATCGCTCCATTGCACTCCAGCCTGGGCAACAGAGTGAGACTCTGTCTCCAACAACAACAAAAAAAAAACAAATGAAAGGCAAATTAGCTCAAGGAGAACAGCCTCATTAATAATTTTCTAATTATAGTGTAAACAAGTAGTTTTAAGCCCACAATGATGTAAAAGTAACATTTTGCTTCATGATTTTTTTTAAATGTAAAAGCCCAAGATCAAGAAGTCTCTAAGTGATGAAAGAGTCTCCAAAATGAATTTTCAATCTACTGGAAAAGGGGTCACCTTTTTTTCATCTGAGAGCGGTGAGTGTTTCAATGATAGAACCTTAATATTTACAAACTGTTGCTTATGAATTACATAATGTCTAGACAGTTTTACAACCATCTTTTTTAAATTTTTATTTTCCTAGAGGCAGAGTCTCGCTATGGTGTCCAGGCTGGTCTTGAACTCCTGGGCTCAAGCAATCCTCCCACCTCGGCCTCCTGAGTAGCTGGGATTACAAGCAGGCGTCACCACACCCAGCACAACTGTCTTTTTAAACAATGAGGCTGGTATAGCTGCTTCCATTTCTCCTCCCTGGTTTGGAGTTCAAATTCAAGGCGTGACCTTGCGGTGCTGACTCAGTCTGTGAGGGCAGAGGCGGGGATGGGACAGCTGGGCCTCCCCTGGGCCCTGCACGCCCATCTCAGAGTCTGCTGCTGTTGACTGTATTGTTTCTTCCAGGCGACTTTTCTCTCTCCAGGGTCTCATTCTCTTTGAGTTTTAAAGGTGCTCAAATTAAAACCAACAAACAATCCTTATTCACTTCCTCATCCTCCTCTTTCATTATGTTTTCCTTTATCCTGGGAAGATGGCTCTCGAGGCCTCTCTCTCTGCTGACTGCACCTCCTCCCTTCTGGTTTGATTCCTCAGCCCTGTCTGCATGAACTTCCAACCTCA